AATGAGCGTGTTGCAACGACATTGAGAACAGCTCTAAAACAGAAAAATGTTGAAGTTTCTGTTGATGTTTCGAATCGGATGTATACATTACCAAAAGAAAAGGCAGTGGAATTCGATGTACAGTAAGTGCAGTAGCAGTTGAGCAATTCTTCTATTCAAATGTCGATGAAACATATAAATATTATTTCAGATCACCCAAAGAAATTTGTCTGAAACCGATAACAAAGTTTTCTGATTATGAAAAGGCTTATGAAGTATGGCCATCGCGAAAAATAAGTTCTGTTAAGCTTATCGAACGCGTTGCAAAATACAATCCAAATGTTGGAGCTTTTCTAGATGATACTATGGTATCGTGGGTGTTTAGGTAATAGATTTATTCATTTTAATCGTATGTTGGCCACCGTTTTCCCACGACAAACATATATTTATCATTATTTTAAAAAAAGGTTTCCCAGTGGACTTCTAATGGCACTGCAAACTGATGAAAAATATTTCGGAAAGGGTTATGGGCAATTGGTAGTGAAAGCAATTTCAAAACAAGTTGCTTGCGATTGGGGTCATGATATTTGCGCTGGCATTTTCGATCAAAATGTAGCATCGAAATCGTTATTTGGTAAACTTGGCTTCAAACCAGCTCCAGAGAAAGTTCATTGGCTTTCCACAAGAAAAACTTGGACTGATCAAGAAGATTAGAATAAAAAACTACGTGATTTTAATACCACAATAAACTATTATCAAATATTCAACATTAAATTTATGTTTTTCTTTACCAAAACCTTAACTCTCTAATGCATTAATTTTTTTTCGACATGAGAACAATTTTTAATGATTATTTTGGTTAAAAATTCCTTAAAAAAATGCTAACAAAATGTTAGCAAAATGCTAATGTTATTGACAAAATTGGAAAACAATCGAATCCATTGTTGCTGCTATAAAATTGCTATAAACGAAGAAGGAGATAATTTTTTTGTCAAATTTTTTTTTTCGCAGGGCTATGCACTAGAGGATTAAACTATAAAATCAGAACAATCAAAGGTAATACGAACAAAAACATTGACATTTTGTTGTTGAATACTGACGTACTTGTTGAATACTGACGTCACACATAGTACACATCGTGTTTAAAATATTTGCGCATACAGCTGCTATATTAGAGTCATACATGTCTCTTTATGCAACAGAATGCATTCAGTGCTTGGATTGAAAAGTTGAAATTCGCGTACAATTCTGTTGAACACAAACTAACCTATATAAATGACAGATCATCCAGTGGAATTTAATCAACACACACTAAATATTTACACACTAAACGGATCAAATACGGATATTGGTTATATGACAATCGGAAATTATATCAGTATTTTCAATCAAGATCCGAATGTAAAACACGTGAAAGTGATAATGTTTGAACGGTGATTTCTTTGATGGAACTTTTGTTATCACTGTAAATTATAATTTGTTTTGTGCTGATTCATAGTGATTCACTGAAAATGTGTGTTATTAAATTTCAGGATCGAAACCGCGCCTACGCCGATACACTGAATCCATCACATGACAATCTTTTTCGCTTATTGCAACTAATTGATTATTCGACGGGATACAGATTTTTGGGTATTCGCCCCGAAATTCATCCGATTTTAGTTGAGGCGCTAAGAAATGCAAATGTTGAAATTATGTCAGATAATGTGGCAATACTGTATCATTTACCGAAAGAAGAAGCCCTCAAATTTAATGTGATGTAATTATTAAATCGTTTTAATTTTTGTATTCCAATGGAATGAAGTTTGGGGTTCACAGACCACCAGAACATGTAAAATTACGTTCATTAACTGAAATGGATGATTTGGAAGAAGTGAGCAAAATGTGGCTTCATCAAGATTCGTGCGCAGTACCTTACGTTCATAGATTGGTTAAATATAATACCCAAGTGGATGCTTTCCATAATAATACTTTGGTAGCTTGGATATTTCGGTATGCTATATGCAAAACAAATTATTTCCAAATAATTATCCGTTTAAAATATAGCTATATTCTCTTCGTTTCACTCTTGATTTCAGTTTACCTATTGGATTGCTCGGTAATTAAAACTGTTTATTCACCACGATACTATGAATTCAAACCACTCATTTGTTTATCTAGGTGGTTTAAAAACTGATAAAAATCACCTCGGCCGTGGTTACGGATCGCTCGTGACAAGAGCCCTATCGAAAATGATTGCCGAATTAGGGGACGACATCTATTCGGCAGTTTTTTTGGATAACACACCATCACATTCTCTATTTAAAAAGCTTGGCTTCAAGCCGATCGGAGAAGTCTATTTCGTAGCAACCAAAATAAATTGGACTTTGGCGCATGAATAATGCAACTTAAATCTTACAAAAAGAATTTTCTTTATTCAATTTCCAACCATTTGACCATTTTTGCTTTTTATAAGTAAAACTAATAATTCGATTTATTTGAAAAAAAAAAAATTAGTAAATGTAGATTCCACCACAAAAAAAGCATCATCCTGTTCGTCATTTGTGTTCGAATTGTTCATCAAAAACGGTATGAATGCGATCGATCATATCGCTGGCAGTCATACTTCGTCCTTTTTCTTCAAATGTAATTGTATTTAATGCTTTAACAAAGTGGCTGGCTCCAACTGAAGCAACTTTAGCCGCTTCACTGCTATCACTGTCGTCGTGGAAATGATAAAAAATAGAATTAAAATTACGAGGATCAAAAATGTAAAATTTAAATGTTATTACCCGGGCATCGTGCGAAGTGCCCATGCGTAAAAAACAGCTGTGCATCCAGAAAGAATATCACCTTGACCACCACACCGTCGTGCTTTGCCACCTTCAACATTGACTACATTGCTGGTTTTATTAACACCACTGTAGATGTTATCGACGAAACCTTTCTTTAAAATTGAAACTGATGGCCCAAGTGCGTCGATTTTTTTTATCTGAGAATCAGAACCATCATCGCCAAATATGCGCGTGAATTCGACAACATTTGGTGTAAGAATTGCGCCCGGATAATTAACAATCAATGAAAGATCTTGTGAAAGTAAAAACAATCCATCAGCATCGATGACAAGTGGTTTTTTTAGTTCACGACACACGGAGAACAATTGTCGAATAGTTGCAAAAACTTTTGGATCACGTCCCAAACCTGGACCAATCACAAGTACATGCAATCGATCAAGCCATGGTTTAATCAAATCGATTGAATGGTTTGGATCATCTAAAACTGGATGCACCATCAACTCAGGACTGTAGGATTTTATTGGAATGGCTGCATCATGGCTACAAAAAATATGCACAATATCAGCACCCAATTTCAACGCACTAATTCCCGCAAAATATGGTGCCCCCGTATACTCAAATGAACCACCAACAACACCAATTCGACCCGCTTGACCTTTATGCATATCATTGGTTAGCAAAGGAACGCACTGGCGCGCTTTTGTCAAATATAAATTACTATTCGACATATTTGCAAAACTAAAACTTTGTTTGGCAAAAGAAATGATTGAAACAGCTCGGACAACGAATGAAATAAACATCTAGGGTTTATTTACATCAGATTCACGATAACAAAATTAACAATGGCGTTGAAACTTTATAAAAAAACAACTTGAATTTGAATAAATCATTTGTGTAATAATTATTTTTTATCTTGTTTAAATTAAAAAATCATTTATATTAATCAGTTCGGTGAACTGCGCAATTCAACTTTTATTTTATGTTACTTTTGTTAAGATAATGATTGTTGACGTTTTCAACAGCTGTGTATACTATACAAATAATCTTTTAGTCTGTCACTGGTGTTTACTGTCATCGGACTGTCAAACGATACTGTGATATAAAACAAAAAATAAAAAAACTCAAAGGCGTCGGCTTTATTTTACCCTTGTATTTGCATAATTTTCATTCAGTTGTTTAACATTTTGGATTTTTACAAAGTAAATTTGTAGTGAAATTATTGAAAGATGAGTGCAACGAAACTAACACCAATACCAGTGATTACAAAGCTAAGTTCAACGTTAATTCGAATTCTGGGTTGTAACCCTGGTCCAATGACGTTGCAGGGAACTAACACATATCTTATCGGAAATGGCAGACGGTATATTTGCGAATTTATCTTTTTGCACATTTTTCAATTTTTTTTTTACAGTCGAATTTTGTGCGATACCGGAGAACCAAATAAGCCAGACTACATAAAGCATCTTAAAACAGTATTGCGTGATGAAAAGGCCACAATTAGTGATATCATTTTAACACATTGGCACAACGATCACATCGGCGGTGTAAGGGATGTTTTGCAGTGTCTGGATGATGCTAATGGTATGTTTGCTCCACTGTTGGTCCATATTTTCATTCAAACAAAGGCAATTTCATTATACAGACTGTAATATATGGAAACACCCGAGAACCGATGCAGAAGATTTATATTCAGAGGTTTTGGGCGATTTTAAATTACAATCTCTTGAAAATGGACAAGTTTTCAGCACCGACGGTGTAAATTTGAAAGTGATACACACGCCTGGACATACAACAGATCATTGCATTCTCACTATGGTCGAAACAAAAGAGATTTTCAGTGGTGATTGTATTTTAGGTGAAGGCACAGCAGTATTTGAAGATCTTTATGATTATATGAAGAGTTTAAAATTAATTATCAACGAAAATCCCACAACAATTTACCCAGGACATGGCAATGTTGTTACAGTAAGCTAACAGTATTTGATTACGTAGTACAGCACATTCACACAACAAAATATGCGGCCAAATCAAATGAAGATGCGATTATTCAGAAGTGTGCGGTAAAATTGAAACTCAATACGGTCATATTTTCATCATAAATTTTTTTACCGCACACACATAATTTATATTATAAAAATATGACAGCATTGAGTTTAGATTTGACCGCACACTACTGAATAGCCGCATCTTCATTTGATTTGACCGCATATTTTGTTGTGTATTGATTTGAATTTAAACGTTTCTTTCTCTATCCAGAATCCAATACCAAAAATTCAATATTACATTGACCATCGGAATCAACGTGAAGCCCAAATATTTGATGTACTTGAATCAAATCGAGACATATGGTATACTGCTATGGATTTAGTGAAAATTATTTATATTGAAACGCCAGAGCAGCTGTGGAGGGCAGCCGCCCACAATGTAAAACAACACTTGAAAAAATTAGAAAAAGAGCACAAAATCGAATCAAAAATATTCGATTCACCCGATGAGCCAGATGGCATCAAGTGGAAGTACTTAAAAGACTAAATTGCAATTAAATTTGTGCCAAATAGAGATGAATAAACTCCAATTATTTACGGAATTTTCTTCTATTTTTATTTGGTAATATTAAAATGTACAACGATCAAAAGATTAGACTATTCATCTTCATAGAAAATGGTTGGTTTTTGGAAATCGTGATAATTCTCGGCGAAAATATCGATTTCACTGTCTTTGTCTTCGAAACATGTTGGAAAAGGTGGCTGAAGAAGTGAACGTTTCGTCGGTATTATCGTATCGTAAATATATATGATGCCATTATTTTCGCCAGGAACATTTTGACCAGTGACCCACATTACGTTGTATTCTTTGTTGATGCGAACGATTTCCAAACCTTTCAATTTACGATATCGATTTCCCATATGACCAGGCACTGAAATTGTTTTTTTTTTTTTTTGGAAAAAATAAGTTTACATTCAATTATTATCAAAACGGATAGTATGAGCTTACTTTTTTGTCCTGGCCAAACACGCGCTTTTTGACCACCCGAACCGATATTTCCAGGTCTTCTATGTGTTTTTGTTTGACCATGTGTAGCCGGCATACCTTTGAATCCCCATCGTTTCATTACACCTTGAAAACCACGATCGACACTAAATAAAAGGAATCGCCATTATATTTTGGTCAAATTGTTATTTGATTTTAGCGTTTACGTTTTACCACGAACATCAACAAAGTCACCGACACGGAAATGTGTAACATTCAATGGTGTTCCTGTAAATTGAACTGCTGTTAGAATTCTATTTCACAAAAGGAGCTGTTATAGACACCGCCAAAGTACGGGCACTTTTCTTGCAACTGGTATTCGGTTTCCGAACTCCTTCGGTGCCAATAATAGCTTTGTTCACAAGTCAATGGTTGACAACAAACCTGGTAGCAATTTGGCATTTGGTGTAACCAAGAAACGTCCTAAATGTCTTTTCGGCATGACACCCGAATCTTTGAACAATCCGCAGTACTCTTTTGTGAATAGCGATGGATCAGCACTGCCGGCGCCAATGAGAAGGCAACCAAATTTCTTCAAATTTTTTACTCGTGGCAATTGGGCTGGATTATATTCATTTGGTTCAAGATATTTAATGACATGATTATCGTCAATTTGTAGCATCGTTGTCATAACTTTTGAGCCATCTTTTCGCCACATTGGAACTACGCCGATTTTACGCGCAATTAAACCAGCCCTTCGTTGATATTTACTCCATTGCTCTGGTGTTTCGACTTGCTTTACATCAATTAACGATTCATAAACACTTTTTGGATAGGTGTGAACACCTTTGACCAACGTTGGTATACCGAAACGATCATTTGTGAATTCTGTGATGAATTTTTGATTTTCTTTTGTTATTAAATCGTCATGGACCTAAAATTAAATGAAAACGATTTTGGTATTAACTACAATAGTAAAGCACAATTATGCAGGATATGATACACTTACCGTTCGTTTTTGTCGTACGAACCAAACTGGATTTCTTTTCCGTGGTTTTGGTAGAATTTTTGAGCGACATTCTCGCACCTGTGTTATTGTCGTTGGACTGAAATTGGATTGTACAAAAAAAAAAAAAAGCAAAACACCACCGCAATTTAGTTTTGTTGAAATTTGAGGTTAGAAAAAGATTATCTGAATTTTCACCGCGTTCATAATTTGATTTTGTAAAAGAGATAAACCTACCTTAGCCGGGATTGAAATAATGTCGACACTAACGTGCGCAACATATTGAAAAAATATGAATTTATTTAAAATTAAACTTTATTGGTGTAAACCATATATTGCTTTCCGTCTTTTATCCACTGACAAAACATCAAAGCATTGCGGATTCAACGACACACTCATTCACAATCACAACTGTCAAAAATGACAGAATTTGTATGTGCCATTCACAATTGGTGGAGTTTGTTGTTGTTTTCTTGATTGATTTCAATCAAACAAACGGTTTTGACTTTCATTCACATCTTCGTTTAAGGAAATAAATGTGCAAATTTTGTATAAACAAACCCGGAACTATTTAACGATCAAAAATTGGTATCGTACATTTACCATATTTTATTTTCAGTTTAATGGCTACTTCTTACATCATAAAACTATTAAATTAACGCAATTGCGTCTTTTATTTCAATTTTGAATTTTTCCATTGGAAATTTCCAAACGATTCACTTATCTAATTTGTCTAAGCTCTAGAAGTAAATAATTAACATTTGTGAGGAGATTAAATTTCCTCGTCTGGGATGCATCCATTGCGAGAGTTCAGCCATGGATATACTTTTAAATCGCGTTTACTCAAATAAGATACGTAATTTTCAATCCAACTACAATGAACTGGATTGTATGATAAATTCAATATTTGCAAATATGGATACCATTTTTTGATTTTATAAACATCTCCCAATGAGGCAATTTCATTATATTCCAAATTGATAATTTCGAGTCGTTGAAACAGTCGCAATTGTGTGATGAGCTCTTCACCATTGGTCAAACCATTTTCCGCCAAATCTAAAACTTCCAATTTTGAGCTGCTATTTATTTTGTTCTCATTTTCATCGAATTTTACTTTATCATTCAATTGAAACCCGCTTTTTCGAAGTGACAAATGATTAAGTTCGGCAAGATGAGCGAATTTGATCAGATTTATGTCGTCAATTTCATTGTAGTCCAAAATCAAAACTTCCAATCCATGTAGATGGGTGAATGCTTCGTTGATTTGCATTAATTCATTTTCCTCAAAAACGGCTTCTTTCAATCTTGGCGTACCGATAAACAAGCTCGACGACAATTTCTTCAATCGATTATTTTGCAATAAAATATTCTCCAAATTCGGTAGATTCAATGCACCGTCTTCAATGTGCTCAATTTTATTTTGATTCAAATGAAGACGCCGCAGATTGATCGCTCCGGCAAATGTATTTGCACGAATGATTGTCAAATTATTTTTAGTCAATGATAAAACCGTTAAATTGTTGAGTTCACTGAAAGCATCCGCACTAATGTACAGAATTTGATTGTGGTCCAAATCAATTTCGATCAAATTCAATGCACCGCTAAACGCTGAACTTTTAATTTTCGTCAAACTTTGAAATTCCAATTGAATTTTTTGTACATTTTCAGGATTTTCATAAAATTCTCTCGGCAAATCATCGGTCCACGTTTCATTTTCGTATTCGTATGCAATGTTGAGTTGCTCAATGATGTCATCGTATCGATCGACAGGAACAATGGTAAAATTTATCTCGTACGATTCTTCCGATGAATTTGTTAAATTATTTTCCTCCGAAATTAAAGCCACATTCAAATTATGGCCACCGTCAATGTTTATTTTGCAAAAGTTATATTTCACCTCATCGCAAACTAAATTCATGCACTGAACTCGGTGCCAACATAAGTAGGTTATAAGCAACCAGAATCTACAAAACAAAACCGATTGATTTGAACGAAGAAAAAAAAGAAGTGTGTATACTGTAAAAATGTTTGGTCGGCCATTTGACTATAAATTGATTTGTATCAAACAAACTTACATTTCGTGCAGAGTTTTCATTTTTGACCTAGACTTCGAATGCTTCAGCGTGAACTCAATTACTTGGGCGGCGTGTTTGTTTCACAACACTCTGTATTTGACTAAAATGCAAACCGATCCAAGAGTCATGTCATTCAATTTATATCAATTGTGCACCCATCGCTAAATATCATTGCTGCCATTGTTTGAAAACATGGCGCACGCTCTATTATCCATTTGGTGATTATTAAATGACCATTAAATTGTGTTTTTGTCTTTACGCTTTGGCATGTGTGCCCATCAATTTAAATCTAGTGGCGATTGTAGTGTCAATCCTTCTTTTTGCGTCTATTTAACATGGTACATGATATGAAATTCACGGTCGTTTTGATGCAATTATGCATTATGTAAACAATAAAAATCCATAAAAATAATTTAAGCAAACTAGGCTACGTTAAACGTACCGGCCGATTATAGTGTGCGGTCATTCAATTTAGTTCGTTTGTACATTGCAAACTTGATTTGATGAAACACGTTCGCTTCATTTTCTTCATATTTATTCATAAGAAATCATGGATACAATTTTGCACACTTAAACTAATTCGGTTTCGTTCATGTAAACTGCATTTTAGTTTTGATTCACCTCTGGTGCAAATGTGAAGTGATTTTGTATTAAAACGGTTATAAAGATACTGTTTATTCTGGTAAGCAAATTATTTTTTATAGAAGAGAAATAATGTAAAATAGACACGCTTATGTAGTTTTTGTAGTGGATGGTATTTTCGGCAATCCAAATTCATCTACTAGTATGCCGTCTTTGTTGCGAATCATGCTATCAGCTCCGGGTTCCTGGCAAAAAAAAATCGTATCGATTAGTTCAATCAAAATATATGGAAATTTGTTCAAAAATGTGAGAAGAAAAAATCCATACCTTGTCTGGGGCAGCCGGGGCTTTTACAACGTCATCCAAGTAAGAAGCATCGTCATCAAGTGCGATTTCTTCGCCAAGAGCATCCAATTCGGCTGCCAATTCGTCCTCATCAACGTCCGGAACACCGTATGTACGTCCCAAAGCCTCTTGTACTTCATCCGCCTGTTCAAGCATATCGGCCATATCGTCTTGAATATCTTCAATTTCATCGATTTTCACATTTTTGAATTCTTTCTTCATTTGGTTGACACCGTCACGCATTGATGAAATCGTCGACTGTGTGTCTTTCAATGATTGGGTGGCATAATTTGCTTGTTCCATGTTGAACGATTGATTTCGAAGACCTTCAACTTGACTTTCGTATTGTTTTTTCTGTTTTAAAACTCGCATCGCTCTCTGTTTTACCGCATTTTTGGCCGGTCCTTCACGCATCTTAGCCATTTGATCTTTGTACTTTCGCAGCTCAGCATCTAATTTATTAATTTTTTCTTCGATTGTATTGGCCCGTGCATCAACATTTGCAATACATTCGCCAATACTTGGTCCGGGCTCTTTTGGCTTACCACGACCAAATAATCGATTCATTTTTACTTGAAATGCACTTTAACTTGGAAAATACCAACGAAAATATTGAGCACAGATCAGATAATTATGTTTCTTTGTACGCAAAAAGCACTTTTGTTTTGCTTCTTTACACGAAAACAATTACAATGAAAATCTGAGAATATGATATCATACAGAATGACACATACCTTTTGACAGTTTCGATTGTCAGTTTCGAAAATAGACATTGTAGACGCACCCCAATTAAATACAGTCAAACTCAACCTACAATGGAATTGTGAAATTAACAATGTCTATGGAATAGTGATTTAAATTGTGTTTTATTTTTAATTTTTAATTAAAATATTGAATTATTGTGTGTTGAATGAGTGCAGCTTTGGAATTCGCTTGAACAGTCATGATAAGCTATTGTAACAAATTGATTTTGGCGCCAATGGTGCGAGGCAGCAGACTACCAACGAGACTCTTAGCACTGAGGTATGGAGCCGATCTTGTATACACCGACGAATTAATTGATCTTAGTTTGTTGATGTCGAAACGGCGGGTCAATGGTAAACATTCCAGAAATTTTTTAATAACATTTTCTTTGGCACATCGAGCTCCTTTATCAATAAATTCATTTTTATTCACACAGACATTCTTGGCACAGTGGATTATGTGAACGAAGCGAATGGATATTGTACATTCAGAACGTGTCCTGAAGAAAAGGATCGACTTATATTTCAAATGGGAACAGCTAATCCTGATCGAGCTGTTGCGCTGGCAAAATTAGTACAAAATGATGTGTCCGCCATTGATGTTAATATGGGCTGCCCAAAACCCTACTCAACTGACTTTGGCATGGGAGCAAAACTTTTACTGAATGCAGATAATGCGAAGAGAATTCTAACCAATCTAGTGAAGAACATACCGTTGCCGATCACATGTAAAATACGGTAAAATTCAAATCAGAAGAAAATTTCCGAACAAAAACTTATTTTTTTGATGAACAGGATATTTGACAATGTTGAAGATTCAATTAAATTAGCGAAAGAATTTGAAAGTACTGGAATAAGTGCGATAGCCGTTCATGGAAGAACTAAAAAACAAAAATCCACTGAACCAGTTAACAAAGGTTAGCCGTACATTCGCCCATAACGAGTTATAACAAACACACTGAGTTTGAATATTCAATTACAGATGCCATTCGACAAATTGCCGAAAATCTAAAAATTCCAGTCATAGCAAACGGTATATAGAATTGAATTGTTTTCATTTGAATTATTAATTCAAATTCGTGAATTTCAAGGTGGATCAGATGACATTGAGACCTATGACGATATTGAAAAGTTTCGTAACGATTGTGGTGCATCGAGTGTTATGATTGCAAGAGGCGTACAAAAGAATGTCAGCATCTTTCGCAAAGAAGGTAAGATTCGGGTTCGATAAAATAAATTCGATTGGTGAAATTTGCTTTTATTGTTTACTGCAGGATTGATTCCACATGAAGAGGTGACACGGGATTACTTAAAACTGTGCGTTGACTATGACAATTCCCTAGCAAATACAAAATATGTAATAGGAAAGATGTACAAAGCAAATACTGATAAAATTCAAAAAAAGAAATTCAGTCGGGAATTTGAGGATGCAGAGAGCATGGAGCAAATTTGGTATGATAATCATTTTAAATCGATTTGTCTAAAATGGTCTAATTAAGAGTAATCAATATTACAGTCGTCATTGGGGTCTAAAGGATTACTGCCGCGAGGTGCACGGTGCTTACGCTGCAAAAGGACATGTGCACTTGCCGTGCTCACCATTGACACAATTAGAAGATATATCAACCGAAATATTTGAATACCGAAAGCACTTGTACAAGGATGAAAACATAAAGTTCTCCTTAATGAAATTCATCCGAAGATATTTCGGTTTAGAAACACTTCCCAAGACGTTAGTATACGGTTATGCTGGTCGAAATAAATTACCGCCACCGGTGTATGAAACAAGACGAGAAGATCGTCTCTACTACACCGTTATTACTTTTAATGGGCAGAAATATGCATCGTTAATTTGGGATCGAGAGAAACGCAATGCAGGTAACTTTCTGGTTAACCACCGTAAATAAAAATAATTTAATTAATAATGAAAATAAAATGATATTTTTGCAGAACAAACGGCTGCTTTGGTGATGTGTCACCATCTGGGGCTGTTCGAGGAACATTTCCTAACGGTTATAGGTTGTCTGCTGGATCATTTATCCAACGATGAAATCAGAGAACACATGCAATAATTTTAATTGAGATTTTTAATAGAAAATGTTAATAAAATGATTTGAAAACAAAAGTAATACAAATTTCCGACTTAGAATGTGACTTTTGACAATTTATGGAACGCACTCACGTCCAGCCACCACGTGAGACCAAATTTACAGTTTGACATTTAATTGAATAAAAAAACAACAAGAAGATAGTTACAAAAGAATAAAACTAAATATAAAATGGGCCAACAGGAAGAAAATCACGTGAAAATGGATACAAATCAAAGTGAAAAAAAGATAGATTACAAAAATAAAATTGTACTAGCGCCCATGGTGAAAATCGGAACACTTGCAACACGATTGCTTGCATTGCAATACGGTGCTGATCTTGTTTACACCGAAGAAATTATCGACTTCAAGTTCTTAAGAACCTATCGCCACGAAAATGGTTTGTCTTCAGTTGTTGAATGCAATTATTCGATAGCTATTTAATTATTTTTATATTTTAACAGAAATTCTAGGCACGGTGGATTTCATTGATAAATACAATGGAATAATTGTATTTCGAACATGTCCAAAGTTGGAAAAAGGAAAGGTTGTATTGCAGCTGGGAACGGCAAATGCTGAACGGGCGTTGAAAGTGGCCAAAATGGTGGAAAACGATGTGGCTGCCATTGATATTAATATGGGCTGCCCAAAGGTTTGTAATTTGGTACTTAAAGCAGGCAAATGGTAGACAAAATACTAAATGAGTTATTATCTATTAAAGGAGTTCTCGTTAAAAGGTGGAATGGGAGCGGCCTTACTAACAGATCCAGAGAGAGCGAAAAGCATATTGAATCTTCTTGTGGAAAATCTTAAAATTCCGGTTACATGCAAAATTCGGTATTTTTATATTTCATTTGACGGACTAAGGACAATGTATGCTAAAAAGTATTTTTTGATTATTTGTTTCAGGATTTTAAACGAATTAGATGATACACTCAAATTGGCTAAAGAGCTGCAGTCCACTGGAATCAGTGCAATCGGAGTACATGGACGCAGAAAACATGAGCGGCCACAACACGCAAACAATCCAGGAGCAATACGAAAAATAGCCGAGCATTTGACGATTCCAGTTATAGCGAATGGTAAGGCAAGAAATTAATTCGGGAAAACAACATTATAATAGTAATTATTAAATTGAATAGGTGGATCTCGTGATATTGAAACATACAATGACATCTTAAAATTTCGAGATGAATGTGGAGCTACGAGTGTTATGATTGCTCGAGCAGCCGAATGGAATACTTCAATTTTTCGCAAAGAAGGTACGGCGTTCTCTTGAGTTTCGCCAACATTTTCTGAAATTACATCAAATTTCATAAATGTTCCTCTCCTTTAGGAAAATTGCCATTAGACGAAGTTATAACGGAGTATTTAAAGTTTTGCATTGAATATGATAGTTCGCCAAATATTACAAAATACTGTGTACAAATGATGCTTCGTGAATTACAAGAAACGCCAAGAGGGAAGAAGTTTTTGGAGTGCCAAACTTTAGATGAAATTTGGTAACAGTTTTGTAACACATTACTTTGAAGAGCTGAACAACTGAAATGTATATTTATTTACAGTGATATCTGGAATTTGGGTGACTATTGCCGACAGAAACAACGAGAGTTTGAAGAAAGAGGTATGCACATTCGACGGAATTGTGTGCCAGATAGCGAAGTTCGAAAGCAAGCCGATGACACCTGTGCCGACGATGGTCCAAGTGCAAAGCGACTGAAACCATTCAACGATCCGAATATTTACACCAGAAATGTTGCATACTATCGAGCTCATTACACACATGAAAATATGCCAAAAGTGATTCTTCATGCACATGCGAGGAAGAAAGGTCTTAACATGCCGACATATTCGACGACTCAAGAAGATCGATTATTCCAAACGATAATTACGTTTCAAGACCAAAAGTACGCCAGCTCGTATTGGGAAAAGAATAAACGATTCGCTGAACAAGGCGCAGCTCTTGTATGTTTGCTTAAACTCGGTTTAGTTAATAAAGAAGATCTTATTAAAAATGGAAGCCTCACGAAATAAACTTTTTAAAGAATTCGAATAATATTTTGTAACTGTTTATTAAATGTGGTTAATATCTATTTTACAACAAAGTAAAAGTTGCTTTTTTAAGAAAGAAATGAAAAAAATTGAAAATTATTTTTGTTTTATTAAAATAATTAAAGATTAAATGAATTGATGTCATTAACAATAATTACAATTGAATGAACAATTATTGCCGCCAATTTTGTTTTCTCCTCAAATAAAATGTCTAAAAACTTGCATTAAATTCGAGATCAAACAGTTATTATGACTTACGGAAGAATGCA